CACATGCTTGCATGCCCATTCTTCCAACAGGCATGATTAAAACACCATTAGGCGCCTAATCCTTGCGTGGACTTGAGGCCTCGGTGAAAGAGTAAATGAGAGATAGCTAAGGGAAAAAAAAAAAATGCCCTAAGACCGTCTGCAATTTTCTCATCATTTCATGCATCTGAAACAAAACTAATTTACTGCTTGTCATGCTCGGCTTGGCACACACAGGCATAAGAGCCAATATGCCACAGCGTGTCATCTGCTGCTGCATCAAAGAGAGCTGTTTATACATCAGACTCACGGCTCCATATGAATCATAGAAACCTGGGAGAAACGCTTAATATGGTCTTATCAAAAGGAGCAGTCTGGCAAACCCACTGATACGTCGGTGACTTTCCACATCTCCCCGATTCTCATCTAAAACAACATCCCATGTCTCCTTCTCGGTTTATATCCTTCTTCATAGGTCATTCCAATGACACAACAGTCTGGATTTTTTTTCTGCCCATCCCCACACACAAATACACAAAGATAAAGTTATGTGCTTGGCAGCTTAGAGTGTGGCAGAAAGATATGGGAGGAGAGTGCTAGAGGCAGAAACCATAGGAGAGAGAGGAGAATTGAGTAATAAGATGAAAGAAAGCATGATAGAAGCCTGGAAGGAGAAAATAAAATAAAAAGTGGTGCGACTGTGATACATGGATTGGGGTCCATTATAAAGGCATGCAACGGCTTAATAGGACTCTGTGGCCAAGATGCTGACTACGGTATGTGTCTACATACACACATGCACTCACATGTTCTTCTTCCGCATATAACGGCTAAACTATTCAGAGAGAACAAAGATTCTCATTAAACTGGACGCGGTGACATGTATTGATTTCTCCCCACAGAATTCACGACGCCTATTGTTTGGAGATCCTCACTTGATATCTCTGCTGTTATTGCTGTGCAAACATCAATATGCACCTCTTCAGTGTATTAAAAAAAAGGGGTTAATTACATACTTGTAAGCAATTATTCCCTTAATGTAGCATAGAATCTACCCACCCCCTCTAAATTGGAATTTAGATTAAAGCCATCAGGCCGTCAGTCAGAGATGGCATCTTTTTCAGTGTCAACTAAAACCCAATCACACATTGCATACCAGATTTTAAGCTTACTCCAAGGTCATGTCCATACAGACAAGATAACAAAGATGGGTTTTATGCATCAATGGAATGATAATTCAAAGTGTAACACCATGTATTGCGCTCACCCTGAACAAAGAAAAAGGTTATCACGCTCCAGTAAGCCAAGAGAATCTAACTTTGATCAAGTAAGAAGGGATTAATAGACACCGAAAAATATTTCTTCCAATTTTATACTATCCCTGCCTCTCTTGTTAAAGAAACATGTCTCCGACTGTCCTAAAATATGGGAGACAGATTATAGTGGGGAGAACAGTTGGTGACACGGAAATACAATTTGCAATCTCCTCGGTGGTGTTTGGTGGCATGAGAGAGGAGGGAGTCTAATTGGACACAAGCCTGTGTCTGGTAGTCCTGTCGCAGCCCACAGGGTTGTAAGTGTGTATGAGTGAGTGAGTGCGACGGAAAGAGAGAGAGAGAGAGACATGGAGTGAGAAAGAGAGCAACAGAAAAAGAACAAGAACAAACAGAGAGCTCCATTCAGGTCCAATCCACAGACACATCATTCAGTCTGACATGACGATACGTCTCTGTGACCCGAGTATTCATATAGGACCTCGCCAGCCAGTCACAGATGCATCATTCACACCCACACAGAGACACACAAGCACACTTCCGCTGGGTCTTGCCTACACTGCTACCAGGCATTTATATCGCTACAGCAAATCTTACTAAGAGTTCCCACTCATATTCATTCACAATTCCCCCCCCCCCCTTGACACGAACACATTGCAAAGATTTTCTATGGAGCCTATTCTTGCAAGCGGACCGCTACCAAACTGCAATGAGCGTCTTTTACTGCCAAGGTTGGAGTGAGAGTTTATCCATTAGCAAGCCATAATATTGACAAGGCTGTGCTCTCCGGGTCCAAACCCCAGCCCTCTAGCCGTAACACTGGCCGACAGACAGGGGGTTGTATGTCAATATGAGGTGCTTACAGGCAGATAAAGGATGCTGCTTCAATTCCTATAGGCAGGCCTTGATGGACAACACGTCGAGAGAAAGGGAAACAGACGGGAAGGGAAGGAATGAGAATGAGTACTGCCAAGTGCTCTGAGAGCTAAGAATTTAGGACTGAGCTGGAATTTGGCCGAAGGGCAAGGAGGCTGAACACAGATGACTCGCAAATTGCTCAGGGATCAAATTTTTTTTTTGCCTTAAGACCTTGACAGCAGCTGAGCGCACAGACAATTTGAGTAAAAAATGGGAACATTCAGAAACAAGATAGATGTGCATATTCTGAATGCATGTTTTGGGGAAACAAAACACAGAAGGCTGTCTTCCAGCCTAAATCGCAAAGCGCAGAAGAATAAGCTAAATGCATTTTTCCCGTATGCATGTTGCTGTTCACCACCTCACCACCACAGATAGTTAAAACACCAGTTAGTGGACGACTAATCAGTAAAGAGACATATTTTTGTATTCATTTGCTTTAATTAGTAGTTAAAGAACCGGGTGAACTCTGATGCCAATGTTGCCCTCTTTGCCAAATGTATGAAATTCAGTCACTTCACTACCTTCCAAACCAACAGCACAGCTAAGCAAATGTCATAAAACATTGTGTATAACAACTATTTCACAGTCACTTATTCAACTTGCAATAACACATAATTCACTGTAGGAACTGAGACAAAATCAAAATTAATGCCAGCGTCAGCATTAGTACATGGGCTCAATCAATCCACTTAATCCTATGAGCCACACTGCCCCTCATGGACTGTAAAGCACATAGCCTCGTCCCTTCAGCCATCCTCTTGCACTGAACAAGCATGAGACTTTTGGTGAGCTCATCAAAAACACAACTAGAAGTACAATTTTGTGAGATAGTTGTGTAAAAATGCTGCCGCACTCCTTTACATTAGGGTAACATCAAGTAGGGACTTGAAGGGCAACACTGAATTGATGCATTGAGTGTGGAGAGCAGGTGGATAGAGGGAGGGGAAAACCAGTAGAGGAGCTCAGAGTGCTCACTGTGGATGCTGTACTACAAATCTGCATTTTTGGTTGGCTGCAGAAGCTGCTTTCCGTGCATGAGGTGCAATGGAGGGTGGGAGGAAGGAAAGGGAGGAAGGAGAAAGCAGTGGAGGAGGAGATGGATGGAGGAGACTGAAGAGCTGCATCATACCGCGGGGCAGAGCTTGCACAGTTTGCTTAAATCTCTAGAAATCATTTCAAGTGACCCACAACAAGGCTGAGCTAAAGGGGATGATTTACCTTGTGTACAACCAAAATCTAGACTAAGTCCAATGTGCTGACAGCAAAGTGCCACAAGCTGCTGTTATCAGAACTACATGCATTATTTCAAGACGCTGAATATCTTTAAGTGATGAGAGAAAAATTTCTCATCACTCTATCACTGACTTTGTTGCATGTGATCTACGAAAAGTGAAAGCATGAGAAAAATCTATTCTTGTGGATTATTGTTGGAATCTTCTCTCGGCAGGTCAATCAGCACACCAGACAGCCACAGCTGGGTTTATAAGCTACTCAACATAAAAAGGCTTGAATATCATTTAAGCGAATAAAAGTGCCTGTGGCAAAGACAACAGTGTCATAAATGCGCCTTTAGTGTCTTCTTTTGTTACGACATCAAAGCAATTGAAATGATCCCTTAATCCTTTTTTAAGTTTAGCCCTAAATCATACCCGTGGTGTGCTCCGACATGAAAATGAAAGTGCTAACATAAAATCCAAGCCTTAAGATAAAGTTACATTAAACTGAGTAGCCTGCTACCCGAGAGACCAAATGCCATGTAGTCAGGTTTTTCGTCTAAACCTAACGTGAAGTACATCCCGCAGTGCTCTATCCACATCGGTCAAGTTCAAAAGCCATCAGGCGTCCACGACGGACCCTACGACCGTGGATCCGCACGGGGAGAAATGTCCCAGTGTTCAGTTTGAGGCACATTAACGTGGGTTTTCCTGCAGGTTGAGATAGCTGACAAACCGTAGATAAGAAAAGAAAAAAAAACCGTCAGGAAAGCGCAATTAAACGAACAAAATAACTAAACATTGTGATATGCACATGCTGGATTGTGCCACAGTGAAACTGTTTAGAAAAGTTCTTTAGCAGCGTGCCTGAACAGGGTCAGGCTGCATACACTCAGCCCTGCGTGGAAACCTAAAATAATAGGAAATATTCCAATACTGAACGGTTTAAATAACTTTTTGAAAGAACTATGACTGAAATTTTTGAGAAAGGTGTTAACTTTTTGTTAAGGCCACAGAAATGAATAAATACCATATGTAATAAAACATCGGGTAGTTTTCCATTTCCATCTTTTCATTTCGTAAAGCTCAGCCACCTCCAATATCTTAATTTTGGTCCAGGAGTCTGAGCGCCACTACATACCAGTGCTTCATCCTCCGAAGACACTGCGTAAAACCGACGCGGAATCCCCGACAAATAATATCGTTTTGAACCGTCATAGCTACCGCTGCAAGAGGAACGAGCACAATTTGGGTACGCACCTCTCCGTGGCTCACATGGGATGAAGGGTACGAATAGCCAATGAAAACGGAGGAAACTCGGTCAACTTGAGGTCCCAAGTTAAAACAAATTGCAGAATTTGTTGGGGGGTTGTATCCTACAATTCTTCCTCGGGGATATAATGAGACGATCCAAATGGATTTTAAAAACAAAATCCGACCGATTATCGGAGTGCGCAGAGCGGGCATGGCGCAGCTAGAACAGGTGCAACACGCCTCTTGTCACCTGGCTGGTGCAGTGGGGAACCTCAAACCCGGCTATGATGCCCACCACAGCCTGCAAATATAAGTCCCGGTTGTGGGAACTAACGCAGTGACAAGCCTCGTTCCTTACCTGTAATCTATGCAGATATCATTCACAGCCGCAGCCGCATCGACACTGCGGATAAGAGGCACGTCCAGAGCAATCCCAACTCCTTCTACTCTTCCCCCCTTCCCCTCACAAAAAATGAAATGCTTAGAGTAATGTTATATCCTGATCAGACGGCTTGTCCACTTTAAATCCCCGGTAAAGGTGTAGTTAGAAGCGATTCCTGCACGGGAGAAAGAAACAGCAGCGGACTTCCAGCAGCATCCCCGATCAGCAGGACTCTACTAAGCCTCTCAGAGTGTTCTGAGACCCGGGAGCCGCACCTCCCATCTCCCGGCGAGAACGCACTTGGTATGCCGTTGGAAAAGCCGCTGCGCCGTATGGGATACCGCAGGAGGCTGTGCTTGTGTGCGCGTATGTGTGCTTGTATGTGCGTGCAGAGAACGTGTGTGTATAGATGTGACTCAGTGCGGTGCTCCTGCTCAACTGAGGTGCTAAGGGTGCTGCAGCGGAGTGCGAGAGAGAGAGAGAGAGAGAGAGAGAGAGCTGGAGGGAGAGAGAGAAAGAAGGAGAGAGAGAGAGAAGTAGGCTGCTGCCTCGGAGTTTGCAGCTTCACAGCGAATCTCAAAGCCGGGAGGGACTTAGTGCACGGAGCTTCGCCCGCTGTAAAAGACGACTGTTTTCACCAAGGTTCATGACTTGCCTGCAGTAACCTCTTAGATTGGAGGCGAAGTGGAGAGTGTTTTCTTTACATTTTAAGACCTTGGCAACTATGTCTATAATAATAACACCGAGTGCGTAAAGCCTACAAATAAAAGCACACATCATCACGATTATCAATATGAGACTATAGGAAGTGTGACAACTCCCCATATGGGGTCCTGTGTAGTTGCTTTGTAGGCGTCAGCATCTCTAAACAAGAAAAAAAAAAGTACATTTCCTAGCTTAAGAGATAAGCAATTCGAAAGGTATATTTTCCACCTAATAAAATAAAATAAATGTGGTATGATGTGGGATTAAATGGAGCCCGTGCCTTGTTAAAATAGAGGTTTATACAGTTAGGTATGGGTCCCGTAGCCAGCAGACGGTTTATGTAATGCATTCATCCCGTTGAGAATGGGATTTGGCAATGCCAAAGGGGAATTTAACACAAATACGCTACAATACCGGGGTGAAATGATCAGATCATCGGATTTGAATACCTAATCGCAGGATCATTTAAAGATAAAGATTGGGCAACACAGCAGCATAATTACGAATCCTGCATAGATGTGGGGGATTAGAACCTGCATTGCATTTTTTTTTTCATTGATGATCTTTAAACGTGCCTCAGGAGCCCCCCCCCATCCCTACGTTTTGATCCATTAATATTCGAAAAGCCTAATTATGTAATCAGGAATAAGCAGCGTGGGTGCTGGAATAATGCATTTTTCCATAAAATAGCTGCCTTATATTCATATAGAGAATTCACAAGAAATCCATCATCATCATCGACTGAATTTTGCACACTAGGAACCTGTCCAGGCTTCTTTCGATTAATATTTCCAGTTCAAAGATAACTTTTAAAATGTTCCCCGGTGGTCTTAAATATTAGAATTTGATTTGATCTGGCAAAAATCATAATGAAGACGAGCGGTAGCTATTCAAAGAACTTGTGGGGAGTAAAAATTCGTTTCTATGGCATGCATCCTTGTTTAATGTCTAATCCTGTGGTGTGCGTTTAGGGGTCGTATAGAGCGGTTTGGCGCTTGCTGCAGCATCCTCTCCCTCTTTTCCTCATCTCCCTCCCTCCGTGCTCTCGCTTCCAAGAGAGGTCCCTCGCTTTGAAACACTGCATCAGAGCCCCACCTACAGGCCAGAGAAACTTTACAGCCACTGACGGTGACAAACACAAATGAAGGCTGTAAGTGCTTCAGCGACTCTGCAACGGTGTGTGGCCATTTGTGACTGTTGTTTGCGGTAGCGTTTTTAATCTTTAATAAAAAAAAAAAAAGTTGTACCAGAACATTAACGTGGCACGAATGTAACACAAACATCCCTGAAAACTACATTATAATGATCTACTACCTACGAACGTCATTTATTCCTGCCTGTAAATTAAGCGAGCGGAAACAGAAACACGGCACATCTACTGTAGAGAGTCAACGCAGAATTATAGCATTACGGTGGCAGTATTACAACACTAAACTTGTTAGCCTGAGCAGATAGAGCAATTTAAACAGTCATGCAGGATTAGTAATAACTGCTTCATATAGTCTTGGTCTTTACTCTCACCCAAACTTCTGCCTTACTGCGGGGAAAAGAAAAATGTGCATATTGGGACATTCTTTGCTCTGTGTGTAGCTGCTTCTCCTGCTGGTGCCGCTGGTGGGGGAGGGGTGACTGATGGCAATCAGCAATACTGGCAACACCTGGGCCCGGTGTGCCACCCCTCCTGGAGCTTGTGTTGGTGGGGCGCTCTTCCCCATTAACAGACAGCCCGTATTCACTGGTGATTTTCGACCAGAGCCACATCCTTCATGAGGAAACTGAAAGCATAATGCCAGAGTAAAGCTTTGAAAGTTAAAAACGGTTTATCTGATTTTAAATGCTCTCACCGTAATCAGTTGGATTTGTGTATTGACAGAAACACTGCCCCAATCTTTATGGCATACAAGGTAGACACACACAGCTGAGCCAATTAATAGTTTTAAACTGTCAATGACAGGTGTAGTTGGTAAATTCGGTGGTGCAGGTAAGTGGATGAGTAGAAACTTGTATGCAATCTTGTATGGAGCAATAACCAAACCAAATAACAGGTAGAAAATTAAAGGCTTCAGTACTGCACCAGATGGGAATACAAGGTTTAACACATTCAATGCAATTAACCGTGACATCCATTCGTTTCAAAGTCTTTTTGACTTTTTCCAAGAGTTTGAATACACTTATCAGAATCTGTGGCCAGATGCACCATAGTTTTGTGCTTTGTACGTCCTAAATTTGCTATTTAACAGGTTAAAATTTCTTGAAAAGTTAAAAATCAATACAAAAAAAGGGGGGGGGGGATGGTTTATTAAAAAAATAAAAGAAGTGATTTTTAGATTCAAGAGTTCAGCGATACCTCGGAGGAAAAGTTACCCCTTGTAAATCATTTTAAGCAATAAAACCAACCATGTCTTTGTTTTGCTGGGTGGTGATGGTTTACAAAAAATCTCTTTGGAAAAGCAGCGGATTTGAAAATGTGTTCATTTGTAATACTCCGGTCTTCATGTCAGATTTTGAGGTCATTTAGAGGATGAAAAGCATAGATACTGACATACCTATTGGCCACATTTAATTATTCAGTGCCAGCAGAGCTAAATCAACAGTCTGTGGAGCTCAATAATCAGATAACTTTCAAAGCACAGCAAATCAATAGTGCTGCAATCTACAGTGACAATAGTCATTCTGTGAAAGGGTCAGGATCGTGTGACCTTCTGAAATTAATGTAAAGGGCAATGGTCTGTGTTCAGATCAAACATGCTGGGATCAAATGATAATAGGGTTGTAATTATTATTATTTTTTATCATAGGAGTGCAATCATTTCTGTGTTCTGCATGTCCATATACATATTGATTAAACCCAAGGACATATTTGTCTCGACATCTTAAATATACAGGGTGTTTTTACATAAATGACAGACATGCGTAAAGTAAAATACTTTAATATCTACAGTTTTCCGTGAAAGCAAACTGGTGCTGGTGATTCTTATGCATCTGTTTATGAGACTTTAGCTAGCTCAGAGCTAAATAACAAAATAAGTTTACATTTATTGGTTGCCTCGAGATTATTATCCAAACAATATTTGTTTGCTTTGAGCAATGTTGCTTTATCGTTTTTGCTCTTCGTTTAAAGCCAGTTAGAAATTCAAGGTTGAACAAGCAAGCTTAGTACAGTAGTTGCTGAGAAAAGGACAACAACTTCAAAGACCGTGAGTAGTTGCTTTGGAGCTATGAAAGATAATTAACGGTCTTTCCCAGCAATTTAAGTTAACCATTTGCTAAGTTTTTATTTTTTCCAAACAGTATATTTGCTTTTCATCTTAAAAAAATGAGATTAAACACTGGTTCATATACACTCACCAACCACTTCATTAGTTACACCTTTGTAGTACTGGGTTGGATCCAGAACTGCCTTAACTCTTCATGGCATGAATACAACAAGGTGCTGGAAACATTCCTCTGAGATTTTGGTCCATATTGGCATAATCGCATGACACAGTTGCTGCAGATTTGTCAGCTGCACATCCAAGATGTGAGTCCCCTGTTCCACCACATCCCAAAGGTGCTCTATTGGACTGAGATCTGGTGACTGTGGAGGGCATTTGCATACAGGAAGGTCATGTCATGTTCAAGAAACAAGTTTGAGCTTTGTGACATGGTGTCTTATCCTGCTGGAAACAGTCATGAGAAGATGTCACATAAAAGGGGTGTATAACATTCATGTAGATTGTGGTGGGTCTAAGTGTGCCAAGAAAATATCCCACAGACTATTAGAGCAGCAGCAACCTGAACAGCTGATTCAAAAGAAGACTGACTCTACCACCTGATTGCTACAGAACAGGCAACATCTTTCCATTTTTTTACTGTAGTCTTGGTTTCCTGTTCCTAGTCGACAGGAGTAGTACTCGGTGTGGTCTTCTGCTGATGTAGCGAAACTGCTTCTAGTTTTGACATTGGCATAGATGCTCTTCTGCAAAACTTAGCTGTAAAAAGTTTGTTACTGTTTCCTTCCTATCAGCTCAAAGCAGTCCAGCCATTCTTCTCTGACCTTTGGCATCAACAAGATCCTTTCGGTCAGAGAACTGCTGCTCACCGGGTATTTTCAGACCATTCTCTGCAAACTCTAAATATGGTTGTGTGGGAAAATCCCAGCAGGTCAGCAGTTTCTGAAACACTCAGAATTTATGTTAATGTGCACTGGAACAGGTGTACTTAACAATGAGGCCAATGAGTGTAGAAGGGTGTAGCTGTAGCAGTAACGAGTGTGTTAAGTGGATGAGTTGTACAGGGAGATGGCCACAGGCAGGAATGATTTCCTGTGTCGTTCAGTGGTGCTTTTCGGTAATCTCAGTCTCTCACTGAACGTGCTCCTGTGACTGACCAGCATGTCATGGAGTGGGTGGGAGGTGTTATCCAACATTGTCTTTGTCTTGGACAGCATCCGCCTCTCCGACACCACCTTGAGTCCAGCTCCATCCCCACAACATTACTGGCCTTACGAATCAGTTTATCGAGTCTGTTGGCATCTGCGACCCTCAGCCTGCTCCCCCAGCATGCAACAGCATAGAGGATCGCACTGGCCACAACAGACTCATAGAAAATCCTCAGCATTTTCTGGCAGATGTTGAAGGACCTCAGTCGCCTCAAAAAATAGAGACGACTCTGGCCCTTCCTGTAAAGTGCTGTGGTGTTTTTAGCCCAGTCCAGTTTATTGTCAATGTGTACTCCAAGGTATTTATAGTCCTCCACAATGTCAACACTGACCCCCTGGATTGAAAC